AAAAGACACATTCAAACTAGCAGCACCAAAACGTTTTCTTTAACTTCGAAAAAGAAAAAAGCGTAGCAAATATTTCTATAAAGCCACTTTTAAACAAAAATAAAATAACAAGGAAGAAGAAAAATACAAAAATGAGAGAAATGTGATCAAATTAGCAATAATCAAACGATAATAAAGATAATTGCATGTGCATTTTTTGTCATGTCACCTATAAAGAAAGCAAAGAAGGAGAAGGATGGATGAGGGGCAAAACCTGTCATCGGTGGGCACACGAAGAATATGCGGGGACAGAAGAGGACGATAAAGAGTTCATCAGTGAATTTTGTTTATGTCAACCATCTCCATTACCTTCTTTTTATTTTTAATATGGTTGACCTACTTGCCCCAATATATGGGACATGGAGGACCACATGACATATGGAACAATTTTATTTTTTTTCTTACAAATCTTAAAATTTATTTTTCATTTTGTAGCAGAATACCATTTATATCATAGAGTTACACTGTATTTTTTTTATAATTACATATACCAGAATAAACAAAAATTATATAAAGACATTTTGCTTAGAGGGTCCTCGCTTACTCGCCCGGTCTCCCCTATTTGGCACAACAAAGGTATTTGTTTAAAAAACAAACCTCAAACCTTAATGTTTCTTTTAATACGCGTCTTTCGCTGAACATTCGATATAAGTTTAGAAAAAAAAATGTTAATTGAAAATTGAAAAAAATATTTTATTTGTTTATTAGCTTAAAAATTGTAAAGTTGTTTGAAAAATTCCTTAGACTCTCCTATAACCGATTTCAATAATTACAATCTTATTTGAAAGGTTGAATTCCCTTTTATGTGCAAAAAAACTTTCAAGTATTATCACCATTTTCGTTTTATTTTTGAAACTTAATTATTATTTTTTTAAATTTAGATTGCAAAATTATTTTGTGAAAACTACTTGATCGATTGTGCTGAAATTTTGTATAGTGCTTTTTTATATTAAAAAAAGATTTTCTGAAAAAAGGAGAAAAAATAGAATCATATATGATTTACCCAACCCAAAACAGATACGGGTCTATTTGTATTTACTGAGAGAAAATATTCGACATCGGGCTAGCTACTGAAGATGGGCGGCCATCTAAATGCACAAATCATTATTCCCATACAGGAACAGGTAGAATATGACAAAAACCGGAACTAAAACTTCACAGCCTTTTTTAACTAGTTTTTTATCAATAACTCGGTAGAAAATTATTATGTTAAATAATTCCAATGGTGTATATCAGTTAATTCGTTGCATAAAGGTGAATATCTCCATTTGACCTCCACTACTGTATATAGTCACTGCTTATAATACTCATACGTTGTGAAAGTTGCCTAACGAATGGAGCTAATAATTCGCGCAATGTAGAAGGTAACGCCACTTGCGAAGATATTAATTTGCATAATCTTGCGCATCTGTCAATTTTACATGACCAGTCTGCTGGTAAAAATACAGTGGCGTGCCCTATTTACTAGATAGAGTTAAAATGTATATTGAATAAAAGTGTTTTTTTAATTTACAACAATTTTAAATATATAATAAAAGATGAAAAATGTTCAAACCAGAGAACAACCAACTACAATACCTGCGTAATACTTAATAAAAATTCCTTGGACTGCAAAAGTCTTAAACGAAGAAGTGTTACGACAAATTGGATATGGCAGAAAGCTTATGAACACAATTTAAATAAGAAAAATATTGTATCTCTATCTATAAATACTCTCTTCTACACGTCACCATGCAACGAAGAGGAGAGGGAAGAAAAGGTTTGGGAAGAAAGAAGAAATCTTGGTTGAGACAATATCTAAACAGATATTTCAGCTCTCAAAATAGGGAAGCGTTTAAAGAAATGATCGCCAACCTTCGTTAGAAGACGACACGATAAGAAGAAGAAGAATACTTTGAACCTAAGTATACAAAATGGTTTGATTATACGAAAGGATTATTTAGTTTTGGTATAAAATGACCTGTCCCAGGTACTTACGGCGCTGGCAAACAATTGTCCTGCAGTTGCAGACAATATGTACAATCGTTGCCTCTACATTATTGCAGAACCTACATTGTTGTTCTGTCCACTTTGCCCATTATACGTATGGTATTTAAGTAAACAATGTGCAGTGCGAACACGTCTGATTACTCTGGGTTCGAAGGTTAAGGAAGCAGCAGGCTGTAATGACAATTTTGCTGTCTTTTGGCCAGAAATATTTTCCCAATATGCCTCTTTTTCGAAGATTATTCAGAGGTATCTTTCACTAAACTCGTATTTGGTACTCTGCAGAATGGTTCTGGTCCGATAAGACGCAAATTGAGTATTAGCCCCTTGTTCCGCAAGATTAAAATCAATCTTATTATCATCAGCAATTTATTTATGCCCTGAAACCTATAGCAAATTACTTTGTTGCGCACCAACGGACCATTTGTAATTCAAAAGGACTATTCACTGTTATCTACTCACACGTTGTAAACTTAAAAGCCTTTAGTGTAACTTGATTGTCTGAGGCAATAAATATTTGTGGCAGAATTAAGGTGGTTTTCAGGCACTCTAGGAAGTAATAGTGCAGTTATTGCTTTGGAACATGAAACAGCTAGTCGAACTTCAGGGTGCTATTGAGTACAAACCGCTTAAGAAGATGACGATGAACATCTGTAGGAAATGGTAGAAAAAGTAGTTCGTAACACTATGCTGAAAAGACGCAAAATGATGATGGTCTTTACGATTATGCAGTGCAAATTGTAATCACTGTCTTAACTTAGACGAATAACTTTTGCCCGTGAGACGAACCACCGTCATTAATAATCAATGGCAGCCTCAACTATTACACGATGCCCAAGTAGATGATCCATGTATAAAAAGAGTATTGGATTGGATGTGTTGAAGTGAGATATCTTCTTAGCAAGACATTAGAGCATGCAGTCGAAAAGTCAAGTCCTACTGGAGCTAATGGAATTGCATAGTACCAAACGATCTTTGAATTTTTGAAAATGATGATGGTACAGCATGTAGGCTTCAGTTGATTGTCCCTTAAAGTAAAGTCTTAAAAGTCAGTTGTCTGACAGTGGACACTTTGGTATTGCAAAGACTCTGCAAAAGGTTCGAGAACGGTTTTATTTCTGGGTATTTTGTTGAAAGAGTTGGGATTTAAATACAAAATGAATGACAGTCAGATCTTTACTCCATAAATAGATATTAATAAATTTCCATTTCTCCATAAATTATTAATAAATAAATATTAAGATTATTGCTCCACTTTTTTCGCGGCCAGCCTATAGTTTTCTGTCCTTTTGTCGATTTATCTTGAGCGATTCTCACCATTTTTCTTTCTTCGAGTTTGCTAATAGACAGCTTTCGACTACCGAAAGCTTTCGACAGAATCAAGCATGATAAGTTCATGGATATACTAAAGGTAACTGATCTGGATAACAAAGACTTTTGAGTAATCAAGAACATATACTACAACCAATCAGCAACCATTCGGGTAAAAAACCAACTAACAGAGGAAGTTGCAATAAAGAGAGGAGTACGACAGGGCTGCATACTATCTCCCGTATTATTTAACGTCTATTCGGAACACGTCATGAGCCAGGCCATAGAGCGTATTCTCATAAATGGTGGGCGCCTGAATAACATCAGATATGCAGACGACACCATCCTCTTTGCAGACAGTTTAGAAGGTTTACAGACACTAGTAATACAAATGTGGTTAATCAGTCAATAATACGGGCTTGATTTTAACATCAAGAAAACAAAGTACATGGTCATCAGTAAGAAGCATATTCCACCGAGTCAATTACTGGTAGATCAGCAACAAATACTCCAAGTGCCCCGTTACTACTATTTAGGAACAACCATAAACGACCAATGGGACCGCTCAGTTGAGATAAAATAAAGAATTGAAAATGCCAGGTCAGCGTTTGTCAGAATGAGCAAGATATTTTAGAGCCACAACCTACCCTTAAAAACGAAAATCCGTTTATTGAGATTCTACGTGTTTATAGTGCTGCTCTATGGTGTTGACTTATGGACACTAACCGAGGCACCCGTGGAAAAACTCGAAGCGTCTGAGATGTGGTGTTATCGACGGATACTGAGGATCTCCTGGGTGGACCGAATAACAAACATTGAGGTTCTACGTCGGATGGATACATGTGAAATTATATCCACAGTGAAACAGCGCAAGCTAGAATATATTGGACATATAATGCTAAACGATCATAGATATAACCTGCTGCAACTTATATTACAGGGAAAGGTCTACGGATAGAGGAGACCAGGAAGAAGAATATCTTGGCTCCAGAACTTACGAAACTGGTTTTCCTTGTCCACTTCAGGACTATTTCGAGCTGCGGTCAATAAAGTTAGAATTGCCATGCTAGTAGTCAACATCCGTAACGAATGGGCACCACAAGAAGAAGAAGATGATACTCCGCAAAATATTTGGAGCTATAAACAATCGAGGGCAGTGGCGCAAAAGATATACCAACTCTTTAATGAACCAGATGTCGTAACTTTCATTAAAACACGGCGACTTAGATGGGCCAGACACATAATACGAATGCCTGACAATATGATTGCTAAACACCTATAAGAAGGCGAAACAAAGACCGACAGCGAATTAGGGATTAGGGACTTAGAGATACTAGAGATCAGAAGAAGGCAACACGTTGCCAGAAATCGAACAGAATGGCGACTAATCTTAGAGCAGGCCAGGATCCACAGAGGATTGTCGAGCCAAAGATGATGATGATGTATGTCATTATCGGCGTTATGGAAGCTTAAACAAAATTTACTGATAGCTATTTTACTTTACTTGATTTAAACGTTTTTATTTATTTCGTATAAATTGAATAATGAATCATGTGCTAAGAACCAAGGGTTAGGTTCTTATATATTTCGGTTAGATTATTATATATCATGTTATCAAGAAAATTAGTGACGACTATGATTTTTATCACTTTTTTGTGTTACAGATACGTTGAAAAATTGATCGACACACCACCCTTTAAACAATACGACGCCCAACTGGTAAAACTAAACCTCCCGAATTGCGACAAATACGAATACCGATCAGACGACTACTGGAAATGCTCAATAAGACATTTGTCCTCAACGATATATCATCCAGTTGGTACGTGCAAAATGGCTCCCACCGATGATGGTTATTCAGTGGTAGATTCTCGACTTCGAGTGCATGGTATAAAAAAATTAAGAGTGGCAGATGCTAGCATTATGCCGAAAATAGTTAGTGCCAATACTAATGCACCGTCTATGATGATTGGGCATAAAGCGGTTGTGATGATAATGGAAGAGTGGAAAAATAAACACGAGGAACTGTAGGAAAATTTTGTGTAAATAAATTGTTTTTATTAGATGGTATTTTTATTTTGGATAGAGGATAGAGTCACGAATGTCGAGGTGTAGAGAAGAATGAGAAAAAATAAAGAGGTTTTAAATACAATTAAAGTCAAAAAACTGCAATATCTAGGACATGTCATGAGGGGTGAGCGTTATAACTTGTTGCAATTAATAATGCAAGGAAGAATACAGGGTAGAAGGAGTCGCGGAAGAAGACGCATCTCCTGGTTAAACAATTTGAGAGCTTGGTTGAACTGCACTTCTGCTGACCTCTTTAGAGCAGCAGTATCGAAAGTGCGAATTGCCATGATGGTTGCCAACCTTAAAGGAAGTGGCACATAAAGAAGATTTTTATTCTTCTTAAAAGAGAGCAATATCAAATATTCTAGATAGCATTACTTACTGACTTACTTTCCGTGTCCGAATTAATACTTTAAATCTTATATTGCCAATACTCCGCCAATTGGGTGGTCTTATCGTTGCCTGAGGTAAGTCAAATAAGAATGCATTCTAGTCTGAAGTACATACAAACCAGTAGTAGCTCAGAGTTATGTATGTTGCTACAGTCACATCTGCCAACTTATGACTATCCCCCATCGCTTTAAATTTTACTTTTAACGTAGCGTGCTGGTTTTGAGACTTTTAAGGGATTTCAACAAAATGTATAACTCTGGAGAAATCCAACAGAATGGCTGAAATCTGAGTTTAGTGCACTTCCAAAAGAACCAGAAGCAAAAAAATGCGGAGAACACCGTACGCTAAGCCTCGTGAGTAAGATCCTAAAATTGTTTAGAAAGATAATCCATAACAGAATGTACAAGCTGTGTGAAAGTCAAATTTCCCCCAACCAGTTCGGGTTAATAAATGCTGTTAATACACGAGAGGCTTTATTCTCAATAAAAGTCTTATTCCAAAGAGGCAGAGACGTCAACTGCGACGTATACGTATACTCTTGTCTGGTTGATTACGAGAAAGCGATGTTTGATCGAGTACAGCACTCCAAGATGATGTAAAATATTTCTGGACCTCGGAGGTCAACTACACTTTGTCATTTCGAGCAACTGTGTTTACGTTGTGTTTTGCAACAAAGTTTAGAGCACTTAGGATGTTAACAAAAATGTGATACTTGATTAAAATTGATTAAAAGACAAAATGATCCTATTTTAATGATACAGTAGAACCTCGATTATCCGTCTCTCTCTTAACCGTCACCTCTGTTAACCGTCAGGGTCAGGTGCACTTATGTCACCACCGCATTTTTTAACGGAAGTAATTTCTGTTCTTATGCAGGGCTCTGGATTAAATTTTAATTTAAATAGGTGATGATAAATGATACCGTGCTTTTAGAGTTCTATTTTTATAATCGCAAGCCGAAAATAAAAAGGCACAGCACAATAATTATTACGTCAATATCTGTATGTCACCATAATTCAGTTTGATTCAAATTTCGAACATTGATTGTGTCATTTAGTCGTTTGATCAATTAAGTTTTGGAAAATGGAGCCTTCCACATCTGAAGAATCAAAAAGAAAATGTGTTGTTTTGTCAGTTGAAAAAAAAAATTGAAATTTTTGCAGAATTAAAGAAAGGTGTTTCTGCTGTTACATTGAGCAAAAAGTATGATGTTTCGAGAACAACAATGAATGATTTAAAGAAAAATGCTGAAGGAATTGAAAAGTATGCTTCGCAAATGGAATCGTTAGATTGCCGGGTGAAACATTGTAAGACAATGAAAAAAAGCCACAAATAAATCACTCGACACGGCTCTGTATTTGTGGTTCTTTCAAAAAAGAAGCGAAGGTCTTCCTTTGTCTGGACCAATTGTTGCCAAAAAGCCTTGTTTTTCAACTTGAAATTGAATGGCGATCCTTTACTCAAAGTAAACAGCGGTTGGTTGGAAAAGTTCAAAAATCGCCACGGTAAATGGGAACTGAAAATCGAAGGTGAAAAATTGAGCGCCGCAAGTATTGAAGTCGTTGACATATATAAAAGAAAGTTTCAAGCTATGATCGATGAATATGATTTGACACGCGATCAAGTGTTCAATGCGGATGAAACTGGTTTAAACGAGAAAACATTGCCAACGAAAATACTCACTGCATTGTCTGAAAATATGCACCCGGATTTAAAACGCAACAGCAACGAATCACAGCAAAAATGTGTTCGAATGCAAGTGATGACCATTGCCTTCTTTTATTATTGATTGGTACAGCACAAAACACGTTGTTTCAAGGGCATAAATATAAACCCGCTTTCCGTTAACTAATACGCACACAATACAGCATGGATTGTTTTTTAAGTTTTTATACCGGACGTTCGACAATACTTGTAAGCAAAAAATTTGCCACCAAAGGCGATTCTCGTTTTGGACAATGCACCTGCCCATCCTAAGGCCGGTATGGTGCGAAGTGACGATGGAAATATCACGTGCTCTTTTCTGCCTGCGAATACAACATCATTGGTACAGTCAATGGACAAATCGGCCATTGAAACATTCAAAAGAAGATACAGAAAAAAATTATTCAAAACCTAGTTATGGAAAAGGAATATTTTTTGGCAATATACTGGAAAGCATACCAGTCGACAATGCTGTGGATGCTTGGGCTGATGTTTCGGAAGGAACACTGAAAAAATCGTGGAATAAATTATCGCCTGAATCAACTCAAGATGAAAATGCCCCCGTGATAGCCGAGCGTGATACCGTGATACGGTAACAAATGAAGTTATTGCTGAATCAACTGTTGTGTTTTCGTTGCCTAAAGATGACATAAACGAATGGTTAATATGTGATGAGGACGCAAACGGCTATCGATTGCTGACAGATGATGAAATCGTTGACATGGCATCAAAGGCAGACGAAATTGATTCAGAAGCTGACACAGACTATGACGGTGACGATATTGATGATGATATTGCAACTCAAAAAGATTTGCGTAAAGAAGCTAGAGAAGCTGCATCGCACATACAACAATTCATCGAGTATTCTGGGCAAGAAAAAGCAAATAAGGTAGATTTGATGATTTTTTGTCGATTAAGAAATTCAGCCATTGTAAAGTGTGAAGTAACATTTAGACAAACAAATATTTCAGAATATTAAATTCCTCTTATATTGTCAAATAATACATACAAATAAAATTTGAGAGTTACTTATACTATGAATTTGCTTTAATGTTCTATTAATTAACCGTCTTTTCGATTATCCGTCATACCCTTGGTCCGGTGCTCTGACGGATAATCGGGGTTCCACTGTAATATAATCCTTCTTCTTATAGTGCCGTGCACCTATAGTGCGTTGGCGAATTATTTTAAGGCCGGACGTCTGTCTTTTGCGGCATGCAAAAGATCGCCAGTGTTATTTATGCCTGTCCAGTTCTTTATGTTCCATAGCCACGACATTTTTTTGCGACCTACTCCTCTCTTGCCTTCAATCTTTCCCTGGATGATTAGTTGAGTGATTGCGTATTTTTTTCCTCTCAGAGTATGGCCCAGGTATCGAATTTTTCGTACCTTGATCAAATTGAGTAGTTATCTAGTTATCGAGTATTTGCCTTTCTTAAGACTTCCTCGTTTCTCAACCTATCTGTCCATGGTATGCAGAACATTCTTTGCAACGTCCACATTTCGAAGGCCTCCAACTTATTAATGGAAGGTACTCTTAACGTCCATGTTTCCATGCCGTATAACAATATAGACCATACATAGTATTTAACCATCCTGTAGCGGAGATTAAAGGAAAGATTGCGGCTACATAGTAGCGGTTTAAATTTGATAAAAGCTTGTCTTGCTTGTTCGGTACGGCATTTTATTTCTTATTGAGGATCCCATTGGTCATTCATCATCATTCCCAAGTATTTATATGTTTTCACTTGATCGGTTGGAGCATTATCTACTTGCAGTTGTATTCTTAAAAGTGCGTTTTTTCTTATTGCCATGCATTTAGTTTTTCCAGCATTTATCTTCAAGCCATATATTTTTCCTACGGTGTTTATATTATTTAACGTCAACTGCATATCATGTTCGTTGTCTGTTATTTATATATAATATAAGCCAATTTTGTATAATTTAACTAATAAAATCAGTGAATTAAGGGAACTTATTCAAAACAACACCATGTCGACATAGTTTAGTTTACCTCGGAGGTCCAGATTTGGAAAGCGAGATTCAGAAAGAAGAAGAACATCCTGGTGAAAGAACCGCAGAACCTGGTTCAACACAACATCGGTGCAGCTACACAACTTCAGATAATCGCCAACATTCGTCATGGATAGGCACATCAAGAAGAAGGGATTTCCAAGCAGTATAAGGTAATTGGTAACACGAAGTCAGTTATTCTTTAGGATCTATGGTACCAACGGACAAAGTTTCCTTCAAAGCTGAAGATAATGCTGTTGATTAGTGGTTTTAAGTGAAGTCGTATAATTCATGAAACTTGTACTAAATTTCAATCCCGCTGAATGCACTGATCACTTTCCTAAGAGGGGCAATTCCTATTATAGGGTATTATATAGTGTGTTCCACGAAAATTTGAACCCCCAAAAACTCAGAAACCAAGAGTTTGCTTCAAAATTAAAAAAAAACACGTCAATTTGTATTAGGAGGGGGACGAATTTTCAAGCAAAATTTATGCCTTCACATGTAACCCTCTACTCCCCTGCATCAACCAACAGTTTTTTTAAATAGCAAATGTAATCGATTTGCAAGTTGATTGAATTATATTGGAGGTCACTAAGAACATTTAAATGGTTAATTTGATGAAATTTTATGTTTTTCTTTTTATTACTGACATTCAACCAATATATTAGTTACATCCAAAATTATCTTCAAAGTTATTACGTAAATTAAAAAAAATAGAGCATCGTGTGGAGAAAAAATTTCCTTTCAAATGATGTGCCACTCGACCAAACTTGATATTAAAAACATACTGGGGGTGATGCGGGGCAGTAGGGGGTTACATTTTAGGGTTACAAATGATTTTTGAACGAAAATTCGTCCCCCTCCCTGGAACACACTGTCGTAGAGGAGTAGGTTTTAAACAACCAGATATTATTCGGTTAGTCTCATTAATAGCGTGATCAAGGCGAGGCGAGTGAGGGCAGAACGGAACGTGAGCTGAGTACTTCGCTTCTCCCTTGTAAAGAAACACGAAGCCCCACAGTTCCGCAACTTGTTTCAGTTAACTTTCGAATCATGTTCTTTCTTAAGGAAATTTTGGCTTTTGTATGTTGGAGGTGGCTTTTAAATGTACAAGCTAATTCTAGTGTGAGTCAAACATATTTTGGTACTTTGTAATGATCTAATAACTGGTTGTTGTATGCTATGTATTTATGTTTACTTATATGTATGTATATTATGTTTGGAAGTTTGAACTCGAATGTCTGCTTTTGGTAACTGTTTCAATACAATCCCTAAGAAGGATGGGAGTAGTTAAAAACATAATCCATACTGGTGCACTCGTGTTTTCTAAACGCAATTAGTGTAAATATTCACTATTATGTCAAGTTTTTTTACTAGCATGTTGGTTGTTTAGGTGGTAACTGCAAACTAGGGGTTTTTAAAGGGTTCGGCGTACGAAATTTTTTCTTAGATTGCAAGGTAACGTAGAACCAACGATTTTGAAGAAGGAATTCTGATAGGCATATCAGTCCCAAAATGCCTATCATATTGTACACTTTCGCTAATTAATCTATTAACACAAAAATGGCAGCTATGTCAATGCAAGCCATTTTAGAAATGCTCTACAAGGTTTAATATGTTACCACAGCAAGATTTACCAACTCAAAATCTAGACTGTTCAAGTTTCTTTTCTCATCAATGGTAACAGAGATTTTTATTTTAATATTAATTTTAGTGCATTGACTAACCTATTTTTATCCATAGTGCCCTATGACATCTCGTATGTAACTATACGATCATTAATAATGAAGATACTGTGAAGTGTCCTATTGGTAGTCGCCTTGTTTGTTTTTTCTATCTTAGTATATTCGTGAGATATCCTTCCCTTTCATTTAACGTATCACACGCTCCAATCAGCCCAATAACAAAGGAGATATGATGTAATACCCTCTTAGCACTGCAGTAATGTGTGTTTTTTCTGTCCAAAATATTCGCTACCCCCTCCCCTTCCCAATGATCTATCATACGTTAAGATCCGACGTTCCAACTATTCTACCCCCACCGTAAAATGCTCAAAAAATGAACAGAATGAACCTTAACATTTTCTTATGGGATTTTACATGGGAAATGAAGCGGTATAGCAGCGTTTTTACAGGTATAGCTTTTCTTAATTTTATTTTAATTGTTATTTAATTTTGCCTAATTCTGTTTAACTAGATTTACCTTTATTTAATTTTATTTAATCTTATTTAGTTTTTATTTTATTTTATTTTGGTAAAACGTTGACGTTTGCTAAACGTCATTTTATTTTTATAGTAACTGTATGTTTATCTTAAACATATTACATAAATTCATCTTACCTTACAATTACAGTAACCTATATTTTAGCAATTTTGCGAAAAAAATAAGTACTGTGAAGTAAATTTCTTATAATCAATATTTGAATCATCAATTTATAGAACTAATTAGCAATAAATCAACCGTATTGTTTCAAGAAGAAAACACTATTAAATGTCAAATGTTGGTAATTCAGATTTCTTTTCTAGATGGTGTTGTTACCTTACTGAACAAACAGTGTGATTTGTCACCATAGCCTTTTATATATGTACATAGAAAAGGAGAAATATATTTCTAACCTAGTAAATTTACATTACATTATCTTATCCTCTTTTTCTTTTTCCAACGGAATGATATGAAATATATTTTATTGTTCTGAAGCTATTTTCTTGTGGCATTTTAAATTAATTACTATTTAACTGGGAATAAGCACAATTAAAGATAAAAAATAAAAATACGTTTATTGACGTTTCACTTTTTACTTCGGAAATCGTTCTAAAAATACAAACAGTAAATTAAACAAATTTTGTTTTTTGTTACATAGTGAAAAATTCTTATAATAATTTAATTTTATCTGACTCATTTATATGGACAATTCAGACATACATTATGCATTTTAAAGTAGACGACTTTAAAATGATATTGCCAATATTGTTGAGTTGCCAAGATAGTTCATTCGATTACATGAAATCAACTTTAACTTGAGAATATCCGTCAGAAACAATCATAGCATGTAATTCGCCTTTAAAAGACAAACACATGACATGATGACAGTTAAAATTCTTCTGTTAGTGATTCCATAGTAAATTATGAGGGATTAACCAGGTAAAAAACTCCATAATACTATCCCGACATGGTCTACATTACATGTTTTAATCTGTAAGAACGATACTGGATATGAGACTCAGGTGTATAGAAAACCAACACACACCAATAGATATTTAAATTTCAAATCAAATCACAATAATAATATAAAAAAGGGAATAATTAAATCCTTATACGATAGAGCCAAAATTACTTGTTCTAACGAAAATTCGTTCTTGGAGGAGAAACATTTGTTAACATCTGTTTTATTAAAAAATGATTATCCTTTATCGTTTATAAATAAGGAATTTTCAACAATCGATCGAATAGAACAGAACAACTTAGAACGAGATCCTACAGCATACACAAGGAATAATACGAGGAAAATAACAATACCGTACATAAAAGGATTATCAGAAAAACTATCAACATTTCAACAACATTCAAAACAACAACACGTTGAGATCTATTTTGTCCAAAACCAAATCTAACAATGAACAAGAAAGGACAAAGAATTGCATTTATAAAATACCTTGTGAATGCGATCAGTTTTATTTAGGTGAAACATCAAGGCCATTAAATGTTAGAATAAGTGAACATCAATCTTATATTAAAAATAGAGAATTGATAGATCTCAAATATGTAAACACGCATGGGATAATGAACATAGGGTTCAATGGAATAATTCAAATGTAGTCCTAAAAGAAACGATGGTAAAAAAAAGAAAATCAAAGAAGCGGCTCTAATTATGCTAAATGAGGCCAATTGTGTCGCAAATTCCTCGGCAGAATGTAGTAGGATCTGGTTACCAATATTGAAAGAGGAAGTTATTAATGAGAAAATACCAGTATTAGTAAGTCAGTAACATATAGAGGATACATCATTTATGTTTTTTAAATAACGAAACATATAAAATCAGAATTTTGGTGTTTATTGAAGGTAAACTAAATGCACGAACAAATACTTACCATGTCGGGATAGTATTATGAGGTTTTTTTCCTGGTTTTTCCCTCATAATTTACTATGGAATCACTAACAGGAGAATTTTACTGTCATCATGTCATGTGTTTGTCTTTTTAAAGACGAATTACATGCTATGATTTTTTTCTGACGGATATTCTCAAGTTAAAGTTGATTTCATGAATAATATCTTAAGTAAAGTCGTCCCAGGACCAACTCAACATATTGGCAATATATTTAAAGTCGTCTACTTTAAAATGCATAATGTATGTCTGAATTGTCAATATAAATGAGTCAGATTAAATTAAATTATTAGAAGAATTTTTCACTATGTAACAAAAAACAAAATTTGTTTAATTTACTGTTTGTATTTTGAGAACGATTTCCGAAGTGGAAATTGAAACGTCAATAAACGTATTTTTATTTTTTTATCTTTAATTGTGGCTTATTCCCAGTTAAATAGAAATATATTTGTCATAAAAAATTCAGAAATGGTATAAAGGATGCACTATGCAGGGATCAATGATATGTGAAAAATAGGAAATAAGAAAAGAAGTCGAAAAAGAAGAAAAGTGGCAGGCAGAACGAAGTTGAAAACCTGTTAAAAAGCTGTTTTAATAATGATGTCATTTATAATTAAATTTACACCGATAGGAAAAAGTTGAACTGTGCCCTATAATTTGGTATCATTTTTATTATCTTATCGTATTTACCAAACGTGGGCGAAGAAATAAAAGCCATTTAAACATTCAAAAAAAATTATTATTAAAATCGCCTGACCTAGAATAACATAATTAAGATACGCAATTACATATTCAGTTTACAAAAACCCAGAAAACCTAATAATGGATATCGGGTCACTTTTACAGGATACATGTCCTGGAAACCTACAGGGTCTGTCAGGATATTTTTTTCTGACTTTATTAAACAGTTTAATGAGTTCCAAGTGCAAATTAGGTAACACCAACGACTACACAGAAGACTATGCGCCCAGATTGAAAGATGGAGATGAGTTTGACTTTATAGTGGTAGGTTCTGGATCAGCTGGAGCAGTGGTAGCGAATAAGCTAAGTGAAAATCCCAACTGGAAAGTGTTGGTTCTAGAAGCTGGAGGTTATCCATCAGCATCTAGTGATGTAAGTAATACACTTGGGTAGGTTGATCTAAGTAAAAATCCATAAGGCATTTAAGTGTGCGATCATAAAAAAACTGTATTTTTGATTTCATTACACAAGAATCAAATGTTAATTATCTATACACTACAATAATTGTAGTTCGGCATAAATTGTTTACTTTTTTAAACCAAAAAGTGTTCAGTAGGTTGTACTGTAGACTTGCCTGGAGCATCATACTATGTTTTCTATACTTTTAAAATGTAAATAATATTTTTAAAAATAAGTAAAGTAATTTTCTGATTTATTTAATATATTTCGACTCTTCCCACTGTTTACTCTGTTTGCTATTTCGTAAAAAGCCACATTTAATATGTGCTGATTTTTAGAAATTTTTAGAATTTATAATCTCTTCCAAATTACAAATATAAAAATTTAACTTAAAATCTCTGATTGCAAAAATCCGGCATTGTATTTATATGAAATTATTGTAAAACGAAAAATGTCTAGAATAAAAAATTAAACATATAATTCAATATTGTTATGCGTTGGATGACATTTTATGATGACTTTTAAATTTTGTCCGTTCGACAGTCGTTACGAATTGAATGCTAGTATCAATCTTTTGTTTTTCTGTTTGTTTTACAACATTTCGTTACTGACCGATATTCTTTTAATTTTTTTTTATTTAATTTTTATTTTGTTAGTTATTTTTTATCATCATCACTCTGACTTTACAACCCAGCTTCGATCCTAGTCTCCTCAAGAATGTCTCTCCAGTCGTCCCTATCCATCGCCTTTCTCTGCTAAGCATGTATTCCCATATTTCTCATGTCTTCATGGATGTGATCAAGGAATCTTGTTCTGGGTCTTCTTCTTCTTTTCTGACTAATGGGTCTATCAAGGAGCGTTTCTCCAGCTGGGTCATTTTGTTCCGTCCGCATTACATGCCCGCCCTATCCACCTCAGACGTCCTATCTTAATATGTTTTACGATATCAGATTCCTGGTATATTCTATAAAGTTCGAAGTTGTATCGTCTTCTCCACACTGCATTGTCATTAACTGCTCTATAGATTTGTCGTAGTACTTTTCTTTCGAAACATCCTAACATGTTTTCATTATTGTTTTTAAAGTCTAGGTCTCTGAATCTTATATTAGGACTGGGCGTATTATTGTTTTGTCGTTTTATTTTTGTATTTCTCGTTACAATTGTGGATTTAAGGAGGAGGAGTATTATTTTCAGTGTTAAGGAGCGCTCCCAGGTATACAATTCGTTAACTGCTTCGATGACATCGTCTTCTATAATAGGTAGTGGTAGGATTTGTGGTTGCTTACCCATTTTTGTACATGATTCTTTTAATGCTACATACGCCTCTCGTATAGCTTTTTATGTTCTTCCAACAATATTACTTAACAATAATATAACAATATAACTTAACAATGTTACTTTTTCCAGAACCAGATTGAACACTATACAGGAGAGAGGGTCTCCTTGGCGAAGCCCGGTATTTGTTTTAAAAGGTTCAGACAGTTCCCCCTGAATTCGTATTCTACATTAAACTTTTTCAAGAGTTAGTTTTTTTTATTTACCAACTGATTTGGTATTCCTAGCTCTTTTCTTTCACATAGTCCTAGGCTGCTTTGTAGTCTATATATAGGTGTTTCTATTCCAGTGTTTTTTCCAAAATTTGTTACAGGGTTGCAATCTGATGAATTGTCGATTTACCATCTCTGAAACCAGCCTGTTATTTTATACTATCTGTTCTGCATATAGTACCATAAGGTGACATAGTACTGTGAAAAATATTTTAGTCGTTTCTTTTTGTTCTATTCCTAGCTCTTTTCTTTCACATAGTCCTAGGCTGCTTTGTAGTCTATATATAGGTGTTTCTATTCCAGTGTTTTTTCCAAAATTTGTTACAGGGTGCAATCTGATGAATTGTCGATTTACCATCTCTGAAACCAGCCTGTTATTTTATACTATCTGTTCTGCATATAGTACCATAAGGTGACATAGTACTGTGAAAAATATTTTAGTCGTTTCTTTTTGTTTCTTTCTACATATTTTTATTTCCCCATATTGTTCATTCAGGCAGCCTAGGGCTCTGTTTGCTCTATTCACTTGATCTTCCACTTCAGTTTCGAGCTTTCCGTAGCTAGATAATGTGATGCCAAGATATTTAAACTCCATCACTTGTTCTATTATCTGACCTTCCAGCTCCAATTTTACATCTTAATAAATTTGTTGTTGGAACCATGCATTTTGTCTTTTTTGTCCATCATCAAAATTATCATTGAATTCATTTTTTCTTGTGATTAAAGGATTAGTATGTGTAGAATTGGAATATGTATACCGTGGTGGAACTTCTTTTTGTTGTGAATTATGTTTTTTTTTTAAATTTTTATTATGACTGATATATTTCTGCAAACGATTCCAATAGTGAATTATCCACTATGACGCATTTCCTAATTGTATAATTTATTATTAAATTAGAAATAGTTATGTTGTTAAATTTCTAATGTATCTAATTTATATTTTTTCGTGTTTTCAAAGATTTTGTTTAATTTTCATTGTAAACTTTTATTGGCTTTTAAAAAATTGTTAAGATTTTTCATTCCTGTAAGTTAAATTAATATTGACAACTTTTTACTAGACTATTTATCAAAAGTAGTTTAACGAAAGAGTTTTTATATAACACTCTTATTATCAAGTGTTAAATTGCAAATATTAAATAAAATTAAGTAAATAAAGCGATAAGTAAGGAAACAATTATAATATCAGCAACTTTGTACTAACATATTTATCAAAAGTAAGTAGTGTAAACAATGAGTTTTTATACAGCAACTGTATCAATGTCTTAAAATATACTGAGATATAAAAAGGTAAACATCTATTTATGTTTATTAGAAGTCATTAATTTTTTACATATCGACTTTTGATGCCATATCGACTTTGCCATGAACAACAAGTGATAAAATTTTCACTGCAATTTTTAAATAATTAAGTTTATCAAGTTTATGTGCTTTATGTTTTTTGTGCTCCGGCGAATTTGTTTAATTTGGTTGTAGAATTGCTCAATCTCTTCATCTGGTTTGTCAGCTGTTGATGCATAGACTTGTATTATATTATTATTCATTAATTTATTTTGCAGCTGTATCATTATGATGCGGTCATTGGAAGGAACGAAAATTTCTAATACAGTTACGAATTTCTTCTTTGACAATAATTGTGACTCCGTTACGTCTGGGTCCTTCTGCCTTTCTCGGGTGGTAGACAATGTATCCATTGCTCTCGAATATTTTTGACCTTGGCCATTTCAAAAATTATCATTGACCCAAAAAGAAAGCAGTCTAATGTATCGCCCACAAAGATATAGCGTCCCATGTCATGTCCCCAGCTGTATAGCCGAGCCTTTATTTTTAGCCTTTTTTTATTTCTCAAAATGTCTGGAGTACGTAGAATTCGCCGGGTGTACCCGATAAGTTACTTTATGAGGGTTAGAATTGTCGAATTGCCTGAAGCAGGTCTATGGGTAAGAGAAGATTCTAGTAGAACCAACAAATGCTTACGCAGTACTGTAGTGTGAGCGATTGTGGACTCAAGATGGCCGAGAACACTAAGCAAATGTTTCTGGACGTCACAGAAAGACCACAGAGCAACATGATCGAAGATTAGGACTTCTCGCTATAAGAGGTAGATTTAGTAGTACTCGAGCGATGGCGAGTATATAGTCGAATATCATACTATATAAGTATATATTTTATTATCGCTCACATTGGGTTACATCTCACATCTGAAAATCGGCGTAAACGTTTGCTCTGGCAAAGAGAAAAAATTCTATGTGGGACTGGGAATGGAATCAGGTGGTCCTTACAGATGAATCCCGCTTCTTTTTCGGAATGCACGATTGTCAGACAAGAGTGAAAAGGCGACGTGGTGGAAAAGGTAACCCACAATTTGACAGAGAACGGCACGTTCACCACACCATGGAAGTTATGGTATGAGGTGCTATTGCTTATCGTAGCAAATAACTACTAATTATTATCAGAGGTAACGTGATGGCCTGACGATATATTCAGGAGATAGTGGAGCCTCATCTTAATTCATGCCTGAACACCATCCAAAACCCGATTTTTCCGAAGACAATGCCAGACTGCATGTTGCAAAAGAATAGTTAGCCTTCATGGATCAACATCACAACAACCATTTACCTTGACACCCACGATGGCATTATCTATTACAATTGAACAAGTCTGGGACATGACAGGTCGCAGGCACTTGAATTTGCAACACTCTCAACAAAATTTAGCAGCTCTCACTAACAAAGTAGTTTTGTATGAGATACCCCAACAGAGTATCGACCACTTCATCAGAATGATGCCCAGGCGTGACAATAAGTTTATAAGATATTAAAGGCACATAATTGGACATAGTTATGCAGAATTGATCCATCCACAGTAACATAATTTTGAGATAATTACCTTTAATGAAAATTTAATACAACAATTTGAAATACCTATGTTTATTCATTTAAATATGCACAAGTTATTTTAAGGTGTTTATTGCATCTTATGTGCGTATTTTAAAAAATAAAGTATATTTATTTTTGTCATTAAATAAAAAAAAATTGGATCATTTCTGCAAAATTGTGTTTGTTGTGGTACACAGCAAATTTTATTATTTGCAGTTATGATCCAAAGCGGTGTTTGTCTGTTTTACTGTCAAATTATATTTATTTTTACCAAAGTCTGTACATAAAACAAAGATTTATTTTTGGTAACATATCTTTACATTATAATAACATTGAAATATTTAAGTTTAGATCGAAGAAACATTATTCTGTAGAACTTTTACCATTAGGCCATAGAGGCGAAAGATTTTCTGGAGTAAATATTTCTGTCAAAAGTTTACTTTTAGAATTTTTTTTAATATCCACTTCCACAAATTCACTATCAAAAGAATTTCTCATGAAAATGGAATACGGGTTTTCTTTTTTTAATAAAATTTCTTTGGTTTTAAGTCAATTTATGGGCTTCTTATCTGTTGATAATTTTCTATTGACGATAAGTTTTTCAGTTTCTGTGTACTATAGAAATTTTCCTTTTTCATTCTAGTAACCACCATTGGTTTCTTACTTTGACACGAACGCATGACATCCATGAACTCTTCTGATGTATAAATTCGCTGCTGTAACTTAAAAGCGGATTCTATTTTGCCAAAATCGGTGTCATTTGGCAGGTAGGAATGACCTGGTTCTAGAAATCTTTGTGAAATTTTCTGTAAAGTTGGATGTTTTGACAAAAAGAGTTTCAATAGCAAAACGATTTTAATATTTCTATTTTTTCCCAGTAACCTTTGTCTTCTTATCCTAAGTGGATACCACAATTATATACCCATAGTTGTCGTTTATAAAAAACGATGTTTGTAGGTATTCTTGGAAGTGGGAGAGTTTTCTGTAAATCAAATGTGATGCATTCCATTTCCTGGGACATTTGACTTTCTTTTAGATCGTCCCTCATTGTTGCTCTTGCATTTTGCCAAAGTTCAACATGTTTCTTATGTTCGTCAGTTAAATAATTTCCCTCTTCTTCAGTTGCAACGTTTTTTATTTTTGTGTTAAATAAAATCACATTTTAAACAAGTATCTTTGTGAAACGATTTTGTTCGTAAATTAAATTTGTTTAAGTAAATAGACTTATATTTTTCAAACGAAACACATTTTCTTACAGGATACTTTTCAACTACCATTGCAGTATAAAACTCATATAGTTTTTTTACAGTCAGATTTGGCTGAAGGAATAAGGCATCAGAGCAATTTGCTCTTCTGTAATGTGATGTGTAAGTTGGAATTGATTTTAGATGACGTATTACAAGTTTGAGGTCTTCAGAAGGAGTTTTATTCCAACCTCCCTGCTTTTGTCCTCTTTGATCAACAATGCTATCAGAGCTATCCATTTTTTTTAAAGATACGGTCACTTTTTGGGGAGAAATACCTAATGTTTTTACAAACATATCACAGCACACTATTTTTCCTGCTAAAGTATAGGTACGACTAAAATTTTTAATTTTCCTTTGTAAACCTTCGTTTAATGTGGTATAAGATCTTTTCTTTGTGTTTTGTTTTACACAAGCGTTACATTATGGAATGTAACACTTCTGCATTTATAATGACCAAAGAAAATTGCGAGAATAACATTTGCTGATATGATTCAAGCTTTTTGAATCATTACAGTGTTAAATACATTTGTGTTATTGACTTTATTTAATTTTGTAAAAATGATTAGGGCCACTTAGATCATTTTGGCTTAAAAAATAAAGCCTCGTTTTAAAATTATTTTTAAAACGCAATAATGATCCATGTGACTTGGCTCATTTTTGTAAATTACTTTAAAGCCTGGTTTTAAATTATTTTTAAAGCGCATTAATGATCCATGTGTCTTGGTTCATTTTTGTAAATTACTCTTAAAAATATTTGAAGATCATTACTGCACAATCGATTAAATTTCAGCATAATTTAGTTTCGAATTTTACCGATGCAAATTTGTGTCTAACTCATATTTTAAGAAATTGTGGAATGGATCACTTCTGCATAACTACGTCCAATTGAAAAAACATATTAAAATCAGATAAATATAATACGTAGGTGTCTCCCTTTTTTATGACTCAGAATACGTTAATATTAAAAGACCAATAACTATATCTATAGTTATTCCATGGACGTTCTTTATTTATACGTCCATGAGTTATATAGTATCAAATTACAAATATTAAGCAAAAATTAAATAAATAAAGCAATACAAACGGAAACCAAATGTGTGCGCGTGTGTTTCTGTGTGTGCGCATGTGTGTGACACTCTAGTTCAATAAAATGGATATTAGCTCATTCTTTAGCAAAACTATCAGCAATCTTATCTCATTGCCAACAACTCCTATGTACTGGCAACTACATCAAAGTTAGTTTGTCGGTCGCTTCCGATTTCTTGCATAGTAAAATTATTATTACCGACCGCAGACAACTACCAAATACACAAACTGCAAAGAATCAAAGTCAAAGATATGGTACTAGCAGCGAAACGGAAAAAGTACTCCAACGAAAAGTTATTCTTTAAAACCCTGAAGATTTTAAGAACCGAAAAGGCTCCACACTACAAAGACAACACCAAAGTAAATAAGGGACAAATAAGGACATTTACTGCATGACAATGACACGTCCTAGATGGAAGCAATATTTCGAGGATCTACTGAATATCCAAAACGATGTAGATATTTTCACAGAAGAACCAGAAGAGGTAGAGCAAGAAGACCAAATTCAAGACGAAATAACTATAGCAGAACAAAAGAAATCATACAAACGATTAAGAAAGGTAAGGCGGCTGGATTTGATAAAGTCACAGCAGAAATTCTTAAAAAACATAGGCGACAAGGGCATTAAACTACTAACAGAAGTAGGTAATAGGGCATGGAGTGAGAGCCAAATACCAAAAGATTGGGAAGTGGGAGTTATTCTACCCATTTTCAAAAAGGGAGACAGACGCGAATGTAGTAACTACAGAGGAATAACACTACTGAGCATCCTATCCAAAGTATATAAGAGAATACTAGAAAAATATCTTTTACAAGAAGTTAATTCTAAAATGGAACAATCACAGAGTGGATTTAGAAATGGCAGAAGCATCCAAGATCACATTTTTACTATCAAGAAACTAATACAAAACGCACGGAACTCAAGCACTGAGTTATACCAACCCTTTATAGACCTAGAAAATACATTTGATAGTACTCCAATCTGGTGGTTGACATATTTTTAAAAAATAAAGGTATGAATCTCAAACTCAGGCAAGCCATTATGAGTATATATAGACATACAAGAAACATAATCAAAACCGATAATATGGAATCCGAAGAGTTCATAGTAAATGAGGGTCTACATGAAGGAGGAGTCCTAGGTTCCATACTGTGTCCAACATTGTCTTGGATGACATAATTAAAGAAACTAGAGCAGAAACATTGAAATTATATGCCGGACATAGAAATCTAGAAGCAGTGTGGATCTCAGAGTGTGCATACGCAGATGATCTAGTGATATTTGGGATAAATGAAGAAGCACTCAATCGAAATTTACAAGTATGGAACGTTGCACTAATTAAACGAAATTTGACAATACTTAATGAGAAGACGAAAGTAATAGTATATGGAAAAAATAGAAAACAAACGAAGATAACATTTAAGGGAAATACACTTGAACAAGTCAATACTTACAAATATCTGGGAGTACAAATAGAGAACAGAGGAACCGAAGAAACTTAAAATAAGTTCCAGAATAGAAAGTGTCCGAGAATTAAAAGTACGTTTTTGTTGAAAAAAGAAGTATCCCAAAAAGCCAAAGTGACCATATACAAGACGGTGTTTGTGCCGATGTTAACTTTTGGTAACGAAATTTGGACGCTTACTGATAAATTAAAATCGAAAATACAGAGCATAAAAATGAAGTTTCTTAGAAAAATAATAGGTATAACCAGGTTAGACAGGATTAGAAATGAGGCAAGCAGAAAACATCTTAAGGTCCAACCAATTATTAAGGAAATTGAAGAGGCCCAACTGAGATGGTAACAAATCAAGAAAGACCAGTTAAAAAAGTATTAGAAGCTAGAAGACAAACCAAGAGACCCAGGGGCATCCCAACATGGGATGATAATGTAACCTCAAATTATTTTTTATATTTTCATTCTTTATTTTTGTCATTTTCGTTTTATTTTTTGGGTTATATTGTTTTTTTCTTATTTTTTTTTTAGATACCGGCACTTGTATTTGGTGGCCCAACTGAAGAAGAAAACTGGCATTACCGAGCGGAACCCTCTCCGCATTCTTCCCTAGGATTCAAAGACAAGCAATCTATATGGCCAAGGGTAAAGGTCTTGGAGGCACCAGCATTTTAAATGCCATGATATACATTAAAGGAAATAAAAGAGATTACGATACTTGGGAGAAACTGGGAAATACAGGATGGGGTTGGGACACTGTAAAAGAACATTTTAAGAATTTGGAAAATATGCAAGCTGAAGGGGTTAGTGATGAGTATGGAAGGGGTGGTTATATGACACTTAATAGATATCCTTCAGGTAAATGTTATACTAACACGTTTCTGTACACTCTTATGATTTTAATTTATATGTCTTTATTATCTCTGTAAAATCATTAGCTATTTTATTTCTGTAAAAAAATTTTTTTTTATTCAGATTGGTTAAAGTGAATGACACATTAAGCAAAAAATATGACGCATATACAAGGACAGTTCAAATGGGCTATTTGGTTACGGTTATTATACTTCAAAACAATCGTTTACGAAAAATTTACGAAAAATTTTTAAAAAATTTCAAAATTTTTCAACCAAAATTTTAATTTTCTCGGGACTTTTCATCAAACTTTTTAAACAATTTTTCAAATTATTTCATTAAACAATTGTCCTGTTCAAAAAAGTATTCAATGAATACTTTTTTGATCAGATTCATCTGATTTATTCAATGAATCATTTTCATCAACCATTTCATCCATAATCTTTTAATAACAACAAAAAGCATTCCCGAATTATTTTTGAAATAAAAAAAATTTACAAGGAAAACAATTCCTGTAGCTGGCTGTGTATACCACGTATCACAAAAAAGAGGTTATTCTTCGTAAATGGGTATATTTAGTTAAAAACCCTTAAAAGGCTAGATAAAAAAAAACAAACGTTTTCGGACCAAACAGTCCATCATCAGGTTTAAAATTGCCTAAAATAAGAATAAACCATTTAGTTAAAGCAAACGTGGTTTTAAAATTTTGACTAGGGTTAAAAAGCAAAAATGGTTATACTTACTAGGTTAAAATGCCTGAGCCACAAAAATACCAGGGTAAAAACCCTTTAAATTACATGTAGTTATAAAAGATTGTACATATTGTTGTTATACAACTGTGATGTTAAATATTAAATTGAATTTGACTTCAGGTAACATACACCCATGGTTGAAGTGAGTTCCAGTGTCCGGAGAGTAAACCTCTTCAAACGGACTACATCTGGTAACTGATTGACAAGATACCTATGAACGGTGTCAAAAACAAAATGTTAATGTAACATGAAACTATATCAGTTATACATAGTATTACTACAGCCATAAGATTCAAAAAAAATTTTTTTTAATGATATTAAAAATAATAACAGCAATCCAGGTGTTGAGATTTAAAAACTTTTTATTTATTAATGTAGGGTATAAAAGATGTGGAATTACGTTGGTGTTAAAGTCATGTTTAAGAGAATGACATGTGCATTAGGCAACCTATATTACTTTTTGTCGTATGGAATGTGGTCTAAAAGTGTATTTTATGTTAGATTAGCTTAGATATATGAAAATTATCCTTTTATGTTTATCACATCTAGGACAAGGTAAAGATTGAATAGTAAATATTTGAAGCTAATATAGGACCTCATATTTAAATGACTTTGTTTAAGACTGCTCGTATGGTGAAAAAGTTAATAAAAGTAAGTTTAATCAATTGAAAAAGGGGGTTAGAAATCTACCGGCTGAAGAAATTAAAGTTATAACCTATGTGATTAAATTTAAAATTGAAGAGGCTGAGCTCCTCAGAGACTTGATGAGAGTAAAAGTAAAGGAAATGACTGAAGACGAAGGGAACGGTTAAAGGAGAGAAAGAGTTAATCAACAATTAGAGATAATAGAGGTCCTTCATGCTTAAAGCATCTAGCACCCTGAACAAAATTTATTTTGGGTAGTATTAAATTCGGTTTATAAAAACCTAAAATTTGATGTATGAGTGTGCTACTAAGTTGTTGACCAAGAGAAGGTGAGCAATGGTTGATTAGGATTGTAAAAGGTATATATTAAGAACCCAAATGGCTAAGTTAAACAGACAAAACGTTTTCGGAATCCATATCTCGGAATCCATATCCATCATCAGTGTCTAGGAGTACATGAATGTTGCCACTAAATATATGGGTGAGAACCCGTTAACAAATAATTAATTACATTTAGTTTACAAAATTTCTTATAATGATTTAAGATGTTAAAGTTACCGTTGGATTAGGTAACATGGCGACATATGACTCCACGTTGAAGTTGCTAGTCTTGAGACGGTGTGTCTACGAAGACTGTATGGAAGCAACTCAAGTTACATTTTTTTTTGCCCCATTCTTTCATATTTTAGAAGCAGTAATAGCGCTGACATGACCGCTTCCTAGTGGTACTAATAAGGGACTAAAATCTTGATCAACATCGCTTCTTTTTTATAGCGTGTGTTCAACCTGTGCCGACGCTAAAATTACAGTAAAAGGTCCTTCTATATGCGTTTAAGTATCTACACATTGTATAATAATAAAAATGTCCAAAAGATATCGTCAAACATAGCAATTTCTTAATAGGACCCAATCATGTGTTTCAAAAGTCTTCACAGAGTATGACAGGGGATTTCTAGACACAGGACGTGTTTTAAATCAACGTAAAAGCTATCCTGTATGTGTAGTTACTGTGTTTAATGCGAAATAAGGAACGTTGTTTTAGTAGGTAATGAAATAACCTTTAATACCAGCCATTTATATACTAATCGTTAAGGAAAGAAGCTCAGGTAGCTATAGCTTCCTCCGTGGTTATTGTTAGTTGTTGCTCTGGAAACCATTAGGGTCTTCTAACTCTAATATCACAAATTGGTCGCATTGCTCCTGTAGTGATCCTTTTCCAAGTTAACATGTTCCTTTTCTAACTTGGCTGCACCGTACTGAAGACGACTAATAACCAGAAATACGTATATACGGTTGCCTTAAATCGCTATATTTATTTGTTTTTTCGTTTTTCCTGTTTTGCGAGACATGCCATTACATTTTACTTTTATTATTCACTCGCATTACCCTTATAATATATGTTTTGGATGGATTGGAGTCAATAAAAGGGTTTAGTATTATTTATCTCGAGCTTTCAATTGTGTTTAAAATTATTATCAAGAGCTGCTAAAAAAATACAAAATATACTTACAAAGTTGAACTAGAAAGAAAAAATTTTTTGTTAAACTTACCAAATAAAATTAGTTTGAATATCAAAAATTATTTTGAATCATTTTTAACAATTGACATTATAAATTTGATTTTTTTTTCTGTCAAAACTTATTACCATGGTGTCCATTTCTCTTCTATTTTTTATATTTTATATAGAAGACAAAATGGAAACCATAGTAATAAGTTTTGACAGAAAGAAAAAGAAATCAAATTAATAATGTCAAAAGGTAATTTTGCTAATTTTTATAGTACAATCCTCACAAGGGTAAGCCTGTTAAAGATACAATAACTCCACTGTTCTAATGTAGTTTTTTGTTTTAATTTTTAGTATGTTTTGAAAAAGAGTAAAATAAACTCGAAAGCTCAACAAACCTTAAAGAGTTTTATTTAAAGGCCAGTAATTGATTACAATGCCCAATATATTCATATTATATTAATACTCACATAGTCACTAAAGCCCTTTTCCAAAAAAAGAAAGAATATAATATATATATATATATATATATATATATATATATATATATATATATTATATATATATATATATATTATATATATATAAAGGAAGAATGATCACAGCTGTCCAATTATTAATTAGTATAATGGTAAGGTTAATTGGGTTAGCAGCTGAATAATGAAAGCCAAAGGGTGCTCTTTTTCAACGACTTCGTTATAACGAAGTCGTTGAAAAGAGCACACTTTGGCTTTCATTATTCAGCTGCTAACCAAATTAACCTTACCATTATACTATATATAATATATTATATATATATATATAATATATATATTATATATTATATATATATATATATATATATATATATATAAGGAATACTGGATATTAGTGACTGTCGATATAAACAAACAACACAGTTTATTAGCGTTGCAGTCAGAATATTGGCCGGGATGTTAAAAAAAAAACACTCTTTTTTGACTTTTTGTCGAGCTTTTGGAATGGTTTTATTCCTTTTTCAAGACACTGTAAAAGACAATTATGTAAATATTTAAAAAATATCACAATTCTTCAGTGTAACTTACTAGTCGTCGATATTATTTTTGTAAGCATTGACATAATACATTATAAAATTTTTAAAATTTATTGTAAAAAAATAGTAAAACTTGGTTGATGGCATGTTTTACTGGTGTATATTAACTCATACAGAGAATGGAAAGTAAAAACACTGTAATTAATATGTAATTAGGTGTAATAATTTGATGGTAATTTATTTGGTGTAATAATTTGTATTTTGGCAAAAGAAAAGAACCATTCAAAACGTGTTTTTTTGGAAATGTGTTTCATAAAATCTAGCACATCTTGCATCAACAAAAGTCCGACATAGACAAATTAAGCAACATTTATTGTTATTTACTAGAAAAACACCAAAAATAAAATAAATATTTACCTGTACATAAATTACACCTCTATGTATAATATGTTGCATACCATTAAGACAGGTTTAAACAGTATAGTCACCTAAGAAGGGCCTCTAGTATGTCTTGAAAAGAAAGATAACATCAATTACACCTAATTACATATTAATTACAGTGTTTTTACTTTCCATTCTCTGTTTGAGTTAATATACACCAGTAAAACATGCCATCAACCAAGTTTTACTATTTTTACAATAAATTTTAAAAGTTTTATAATGTATTATGTACATAATTGTATATTTTAAAGTGTGGTATAAATGTTGAGTGTCAATGCTTACAAAAAATTAATCTCAACGACTAGTAAGTTACACTGAAGAATTGTGATATTTTTTAATATCTACATAATTGTTTTTTACAGTGTCTTGAAAAAGGAATAAAACCATTTCGAAAGCTCGACAAAAAGTCAAAAGAGTGTTTTTTCTAACATCCCGGCCAATATTCTGACTGCAACCCTAATAAACTGTGTTTGTTTGTTTATATATATGTATATATATATATATATTATATATTATATTATGTATATATATATAATTTATATATATATAATATATATATATATATTACAGGGTGGTCCGTAGTAATTGTACAAAAAGAAACCGTAGATTCTACACTTTAAAATATTACGATTTAAGTCAAGTTGCTTTAATA